GCCCTCGCCCCACTCCCCCGACACGCCGCTTCCACTCGCCCCCGAAGCCACTCCATCCACTCGCCCTTCAGGCCCCGGCACAGATGTGTGATGGCTCTTTGGGGGGAAAGGAATCCTACAGTTCGGATACCACACTCTCCGGCAAGCCACCAAGGCCTCGGGGAGGGGGGAGCCCCTGGGCTCCCCAAACATCAGCGGGTTCCCACCGGGACTGGTGCCCGCACGTCATCGCTGGACAGAGGCAAAGGGTCCGCAGAGGGGCAGCGTGTGTGACGCCGGCGCTCCTCCCACGGTCGGTCGGTCAGTCAGCGTTTCCCCCGGGAGTGAGGCGGAGCGGGGAGAAGGCAGGAACCCATCGGAGTCCCGTAGCTCCTCGTTGTAAACACTCCTCTCATCAAGGTGTTTAGAGTATTGGCGATGCTTGGGAAGTGGTTTTCAGGACACAGGACACACAGTCTGCTCTGTACACACATAGAACACATGTCTTTTAAAAAAATGTATTTTATTGATTTCAGAGAGGAAGGGAGAGGGAGAGAGATAGAAACATCAGTGATGAGAGAGGATCATGGATCAGCTGCCTCCTGCACGTCCCCTACTGGGGATGGAGCCCACAACCCGGGCACGTGCCCTTGACCAGAATCGAACCTGGGACCCTCAGTCCCCAGGCCGACGATCTATCCACTGAGCCACACCATCCAGGGGTAAAATGCCTCTTTATTTACACGTGACGGCTCCTAAGGCAGCTGGAAGGACCTCGGGTAAGTGTGCAGAGCTGTTTATTCTGTGGAACGCAGCCCTCACACACATGACCTTCAGAACGTGTCCTCAGAACGACTTGGAGAGTGTTCTTCCCGCTGAATCACTGTGAACTTTCACACACTTTACCCGTGAGTGACCGCAAACAAAAAAGGACGAGAGCCAAGCCCTGGCTGGGCGGCCTGTTGGTTGGCGCATCCTCCCGTTCACCAGAAGGTTTCCGTTTCAATTCCCGGTCAGGGCACGTGCTAGGACGTGGGTTCGACCCCTGGTCAGGGCGAGCATGGCAGGCAGCCCATCAGTGTTCCTCTCTCTCTCTCTCTCTCTCTCTCTCTCTCTCTCTTCCTCTCTCTCCCTCCCCATTCCCCCCTCTCTCTCCCTCCTTCCTCTCTCTCTAAAATAAATAAAAACATATGCTCACGTGAGGATTAAAAAAAGAGAGAAGACTGAGTCCCAGTAGCTGTAGGACTCACGTTGGCTCTACACCCAGGGGGCGGGGGCCCCCACATGCTTTCCCTCTCTCCCCTTACTCAGCGGCCATCCCGTGAGGCCGTTTGCTTGCCTGCCTTTTACAGAAGCGGAAGCCGAAGCCCAGAGGGCGTGGGTACCTTCCCCAGCCTCATCCCAGGAAGTGGCAGCGTGGGGACTGGCACCCAGCTCTTCCGGCTGTCAACTCCGTCCTCCCGCTCTACCAGGCAGCCCCGGGGTACGTGCCCCTGGACGGACCCCTCCCCAGGCCTCGGGGAACGACTTGGCCTCTGCCCTGAGCAGGATCGGAAATCCCCGACGAGACCCAGCGGGCCTGTCGCGCCCCCTTCCCACCGTGGGGTCTCGTCTTCCGCGCGGCTGTCCTGTGGACACCCAGCTGGCAAATGTAGGAGGGTCTCAGGCCGCGTTGTAAAACCCAGAAGGTTTGCATGGCCCAGGGCAATGTTACTGTTTATCTATATTCCACCTCCCTGAGGCCGACAGCAACACTGCCCTCCGCAAAGGGTGTGTGTGTGGGGGGAGGGGCGGGGGGTCTCCCAACACTCAAATCTGACGTCCTATCTCCTTCCCTGTCTCTGTTTCCCCCCACTCGTTCTCGAACCCGCACGGAAGTCTGGGCTGGTCCCGACGTTGATGATTACCGTCTTGGAGTGGACGTGGGTCACCATTTCCTGGGACCATCCCTGGGTCACCATTCGTTTCTGGTTCTGAAACAGCCGAATCTAGATTCTTAGGCCGCATAATTCAGGCCCGGGCTCCAGAGAATTCCACCCGTTGTTAACTTTTTTTTTAATCCTCACCTGAGGACATGTTTTTATTGGGTTTTAGAGAGAGAGGAAGGGGGAGTGAGAGAAACATTGTCCGGTTGCCTTCTGTATGGGCTCCAACCGGGGATCGATCCTGCAGTTAGGTATGTGCCCTGACTGGGAAGCGAACCCGCCACCCCTTGGTGCACGGGACGACGCTCCAACCGACTGAGCCACCCGGCCACAGCCATTGTTAATGGCATATATATATATTAGTTTTTACATAAAGAAAGGGAGAGAGAGTGAGAAACATCGATCTACTGCCTCCTGCCCGCCCCCTACTGGGGAATCGAGCCCCAAACCGGGGCCTGTGCCCTGACCGGGGAATCGAGCCCAGACCTCCTGGTTCATAGGTCGACGCTCAACCACTGAGCCCCACTGGCCGGGCGTCATCTCTATATTTTTAATCAACGCCTGTTTCTAATGCATTTATAATTATTTATACCATCCAGCCTCATGATTCACTCAGGAGAAACCTGGAGTTGAATCAGGCCTTTCAGCAAGCACTTCCAAGTGGTGTTTTGCAGACGGTGACTGGCTGGGGCCGCGGCGAGGCTCCGCGAGGCCGGTGAATCGGAGCTCACAGGCTCAGCGTGGATTCCTGAAGGAGGACTCGGGCCGCGAGGTTTAAGGGCTTCCTAGTGACTCAGCCGCAGTTGGAGAGCAGCGTGTGAGTCATTCCGTTCGCGAATCTGCTGTCACTTCCTTGGAAAGGGCCTCCTTTCCTTATGGCTTTTTCCACGCTTGACTCACTTCTCTGAAGCTGTCTTCTGTAACTGCATCTTCTCTGCTCCTGGAAGGACGCGGAGGCCCTGTCCCAGTTCCCCCTTTCCGAGCTGAGGGGCCGAGGGGCTGGCGATGGAAATC